TCTTCCCAGATGCCATTTAAGAGTAGCTGTCCTCCCCTGTGGGCAGAAGTCCTGCTTCAATAGATCATTTTAAGAGGAACTTCTGAGGTTTAATTATCCTTTTCTATTTGAGAGAAGAATAGCCTGGCATCAGCAACACCACAGCAAAAATAGAATTGCTCCTATATCTTCTTCCAGTAGTAGTTTTGTATTTACCAAAATTGCATTGTCATTTCAGGAACTGTGTCTTTCCTGCCAACCAATTAATAAGAGGCTCTATAGGTAGTGTATTACTATATTTGACCTAAAGCCTGTAGAGCAAAAATCTTTATGGTGGAATCCAGTGACAAGTCAGCAGGTCTTCATTTAGTTCATTTAAATAATTTCATACTGCTGACTACGCTGACTTAGTATCTTGGTTGCAGATTGTAGTGAATAACTGGTTCTTTTTGTACCTGTAAAGACAATTAATAACTGCTGTTTTATGTAAGAATTTGTTTATAGATGGGACTGATCAGTGTTTTTTCTCTATAATTTGTGTGGCTACTAGAGAAGATAGGTTAGCATTCTGAATAGATGAATAATATAATTCTACTTACTATCTTTTTCTTTTTTTAATATTCAACAAGAACAGTTTCTTTATTTTCCCAAAACTGATTCTATGCATAGGATTGGTCACTTGAATCAACACTTTTCCCTGTTATCTGTGAATGCCTTTCATGATCAAGTTGCATTTGGATTTTTTGTTTGTTTCTTAAAGGCCAGATTGGTTGATCTCCTTCATATGATGAACTCCATTCAGATGGATCTTACTCCAGGCTGCAGGAGACACACATGTTTATTCTACATACTTACTGCTGACTTAGAAATTCTTGAAGTCAGAAAAAGCTGAAGAATATAGATATCATTTCAAAAGTAGAGTTTAGGAAGTTAACTGATATATTGCTTCCTAATTTTGCTGCCTTTAGGTAATCAGGGATGTTAATGCTGTGGTACTCTTCAATACATCTTGCAGTACTACCAATTTTACAGTATGGTTAAAAAAAAGGAAGAAAAGTACCCTAAAAATTTAGTATCAGGAGAGGAAAACTGTATATAGAATAGGCCAGTGGAAAGCAGCTGTAAGGATTTAAGAAATTTCTCAGTTTCAGAGTTGCACCTGTCTTGCTTGTAGTCAATCCTTACTGCTTTGTTAGACTTGCTTATGCATCTTGATAGATGAGAAAAGAACAGTGTGTGTTAAAAGAAACTATAGATGTAAGTAGTAATATTTCTGTCTTTTTGTCTATTGGGAGCAACTTTTCCCTTGAAGTCCTGTAAAGTAAAAGATTTCAAAATTTAATGCTGTTTGCCCAAGGAGAAAAAAGGAAGACTAATTTTTTTTGGATAATGAATAGCAAAAGATGTATAATACATCATTTTTCTTCTAAATTTATCATTGGCTCCATGGCTTTAACTTCATTGAATTTTAAATTCTGTAGTAGTATTTAATTGGAAATGTAATTCTGCTGATTGGCTGGTATATCTACAGAAATGAGATAAGTATGATCTGAGTGTGGAGGTTTTGCTTGCATTGTTCTTATACGGGGATGGTCATGGTCAGTAGTGCTGTGGAATGCCACAGGGTTTGCCTTCTGTCAAGGGAATAAGGGGAAACAGAGTTGAAACATAGGAGAAACTGTATACACGAGTGCTGGAGATATAAGGAAAAGGGGTTTTGTTTCATTTAGGCAAGAAAGGGAGAGAATGCAGGACTATATTGATTTTGTGTGTGTGTGGTTTTGCTTTCAAAATTGAAATGGTAACCATTCTCAAAAGCACGCTAGTTTTGAAAATGGCTTTGTTGGTTGAAAATTTTATGTTTTTACCCCAGCACAATTATATTGGAAGAGGGTAAGCCACAGGTAATATCATGTAAGTATTAAATAAAGTAGTTGTTTAAAAAAAAAAGGATATTTCTACTAGGTCAGGACAAACTGGTAGCTGGTGATTCAAAATATTTAACACCTTGTATTTGTAAGCTCACTGCAGAGACTATTGTTAATATTTATGTGAAGTAAAACCAGATTTACTGTTGCATTGGCCATTGTGATTGTTTAAACACCTTTTATTTGAGTGTGAAGAAGCTTTTTTTTTTATTATTATTTTTGCATCATGGCCCTGCCAAGCAAACTCTTAACTGCTTTTTTAGTTTCTCTGATTTGTGATATTTAACAAAAACAAAAGTCAGATTTAGGGTTGTTTCCCTTAATCTTTGGTTTGTAATGGTGTATTTTTGTTGAGAATATATAACTTATGAAAATAACTCATGGTCATAGTTGCTAATAGGGCAAACTCATTCCTTGTTACGTAAGCTTTGTAGAGTCAAAGGAGTTATTTTTTCTGTCCTAGTATAGTAAATTAAGGAAGGCATAAGAAAAACTGTATGGAAGGGAAGACAATGGAGCAGAAAAGTTACAGGCCAGGGGTCGATGGATGAATGTCTAATATAGTTTTTAAAAAGTTTTCTTTTTTCTTTCCTTTTAGCATCTAGATGTCTTTGGATTCATGGCAGAAGTGAGAAATGGTAGAATAAAATTTGTCTGAGGGCATGCTTTTTTCCTTTTTAAATATGTGAAAATATGTTCTAAGGTCAAATCTTACCATCTTCAATAGTAAGATGCTGTATTTAACTCACAGACTGAAAACCACTGATGATAGAGAAGGAGTGCTGTTTTGTAGCTGTTTACATTGAAGTGGAAACATCATTTTTAGTTTTGAAATTTTTTTGTCTTTATTGTCACCCAGACAGTGTGAGGTTTGGTTGTAGCAAAATAAATTAGAGTTTACATTTAGATAAAAAACCTGTTGTTCTGTAGGAAAGCGTGTTAATGATTCATTAAATTATATGTTTCTGGTTTAGTTAGAAAGTAAGGACAGCAGCGTGATTTTTTAGGTTGTAAAATGTTTTCAGTATGGTTTCAGCACTAGTGTTTTGTGGATTCGATGATTAACAGGCACTGAAATAGTAGTTTTATTTATTTTGAAGCCTAGAGAACCCTTCAGCCATACTGCACATAACCTTTGGAAAATGACTGTACTATGGGAAAACTAATCTTGGAATACACATTGGCTTTAATGCTGATATATTGGGTGTCAAAATGGCTTTTTCTAAAGGGTTTTGGGAGTCTGGATTTGAGGCATGTTTACCCTGGGCAAGTAGAGTTAATTATAAGTAATATAAGTAATTATAAGTAACAGAAAATCAAGTATCAAGGTGTTACTTTTTACTCTGGATTCTGTCCCTTGTACTGAATAGTTCTGTGGTATCAGTAGGTCATGGAAACTTTTAAAACCAAACTATCTGCATCATTGGTCACTCACTATGGATAAGGAGTGATAAGGTTGTGATATTGAATGGAGGAAGGGGTTTGACAGAAGGTAGTAAAGAACTATGAGCATGTGAGGGAGGTAATAGATAGGTTTGGTCAGCTGCAGCCATGGTGTAGCAGACCTTAGTGTGGCCATGCATCACACCTGAGTGGTTGAAGAGGTTACCGTCCCCAGCTGTTGGCCCTCTCCCAGGAATCATTGCATGGGATATGCAGCTGACCTGGACCCCAAATTGTAAAAGTTTACCACTTAGCATGTTAAACTAATAATGTCCATTTTATTTTAGTGTCATACTTGAGCACTACATTTAATGATGTTCTGGGAGCTGCTGTTGAGTTATATTCATGTTGCTGTAGAACTGGAAACACTGAGGAAAAAATAGTTTGTCCCTGCTTGAACCTTCACATTGCACTTAACTGTCACAGCTTTCCTGAAGTTCACCCATTAACGTGGAGCTTTCAGAGGTGAACAGAGTTTATTGCCAATCTCACTACTCTAAGCAGAATCTTGGAGCCACGTCATGATGTAAGGTTCTGTAATTGTTTTTCACTAATCAAAAATGGAGGTGTAACATGGAAATATGCAGTTATTTTGATCCTTTTATTCTTAGCAGCTTTTTGTAGCTGGCTTGTAGCTATGTGTACTCTGTTTCATTGACTCT